TAAATGTTTGTATGATTAAGACCTCTGATAGATATCTTTAAATCGTGGGTGGTGTATTATTTGTTGAATCCAATTAATGCGAATGCCATAATATCCAATGCATTACATTTCACCAGGGGAGAACCCATTGCCAATAAACATGGTTATCTCCTTTCTGTGTCCATTTTCCGAACTTTTTTGACTGCAGGGTTAAAACAATAAATCCCCTGTGCTCATACACTCTCGTGAAACGTGGGCACGCAAGATGCCAAGCAGAACTGGGCTCGTAAAAATAAAATTCACAGCGCTTGCAAGGAGCGGCCCAGTAGTAGGCGCTATAATACTGCATTACATTTCGCACAACGCAGGTAATCATGATTCGTATTTCCCAACCTCGTGAAGAGATTGCAGTCCATATATACTGAAGTTAATCATTTAACAATGATGGCTAATAATACATTTCAATTAAATGCGTGTTCACGAGAAACTAATGCATGATACATATGTGTGTTCACATCAAATGCTCCTGCCAGACTGATGCAGGGAGTAAGAAAATATGATGCCAAAAGTGCAGCCAGTGTGATTCACGTGAGCTATTTCGGGTTTTGGATTGATTGTGTTTTTAAATCTCCCATGTCCTTACATTGCAATCTGGCGTTCAAGTTACATGGGCAGTCGTCACGAGAATTGTTTTTGTGGCCACATTTGGGGTAAAATTAAGTGCAAGTGTAGTGCTCGGAATTTTCCCAGGCCAGGTGTGCATGATGGGTAAATGAAGCGTAGGTATCAATCACTCCAGCGAAAGGCATTCGGCTCCTACGGGCTTGGTATGTGTTTAGGCATTAATGAAAACTGAAGCAGTACACCGCAACATTTTATTATTTACTGTTTCACTTACAGTACCTCTTTTACACCCCTTCCATGAAGTTTGGCCAGTGTGGAAAACGAGGCCAATACCCTCTATAGGTGCTTACCACAGCTGTCTCTCGTAGAGGCAGTGCCGCCAGTAGTGGCGTGAGAATTTGGAGCGTCGCAACTTAATCATTTACAACCCTGGCATGAAAAATGGCAATCGCGTACTAAAGAGTAAAATAAGAAGTGCGTGTGTATTGCAGCTAAACACAAATTAAATGCTAGCTAAAATGACTCACAATGCGATGTTTTGATTTGCTTCATGTAGAAACACGTATTCATGGACATGACATTTTCGTCAGGGCTCTCATGCCCTACTATTCCTTTACTCTGCATGTCGATCTCCAGCCATGATTATTTTATGAAGGAAAACGTGGAAGACGACAGATTTGTACTATGTAGTATATACTTTTGTAAACGGCAATAATATTCAGTACACATTCCCTTTTGCAAACAGCCTTAACGTATTAATTTTGCACAAACTATCACACCTCATAAAGGTGGCAACCCCCACTATGTCCCTGTAAAGCCACCTGTCTTCTCTGTGTCTTGCATAAGAAAACATTCTGAATCCACCAAATGACTTTTGTTCCTGTGTTAATTTAGATCCTGTTCCTTTCTGCTGTCGGTAAAATGCTCCCCTTACTCTCCCACTGGTGGATGTCTTTTTAATATCCATCTATTTAGAAGTAATTGAAATGCCACTCACCAGTTGAATAATCATGAGTGAGTTTATACTAGCTTAGAGATGATGCATTACATTAACGTGAACATAGTGTCCTTGTTGAAAGCATGACCTTGGGGGTTATTGTAATATTTTAATTGCTGCTCACATTAGGTACAACAGCACAGGTGAATTATCACGAAGATGAATGATGGTCCATAATTATTGAATATTAATCACCGTAAGAGTAATGCAAGAATTACTCTCGTAGATGAATGTATGCCGTTTGTTCTGCACATTTCTGACCCTCTCCTAACCACCGTACGATGCCGCCAAATGGGGATGAGAGAGTAAATGATGAGCCTTGCCATTTGGCCAACGGAGCCCCCTTGTGTCATCTGCTGCGGGCTTGTTATGTTGATGGTTTCAACTGTAGCCTGCAACCTAAAATAATTGAATACCAGCTGTCTCTATTCCTCCAGCTTGTCACCATCACAGCGGAGAGTTGTGACAAAAATCCTGCGACGAGTTACCACCTGCTCACTTGGCCAGCTATCACGGGGACTGATGGAGCTCTTCAGCGGGGCATGCATGTTCCTGGCAAAAATAAGCAGCCTTTCAACATTTGCCGTTTAACACGCACACCAAGTTGCAGCCCTGAAGCCGTGAAATGTAATTCGTGTGATGTCAGCCCCCTGTCCCTGGGCCGACCATATTTTAAACCTGTCCATCAAAGAAGCATCAGTTCCTCTAGAATGGAAACATTCCTATGTTCGTCCACTTCACAAAGGGGGCCCTAAAGATGATCCAAATAACTACCGACCTATCTCAATTTTGTCCCCGTTGATGAAAATTTTTGAAAAATTATTGACCTACCAAATTAGCAGTTTCCTGTCCGCCAACAATCTATTACATCTAAAACAATCTGGGTTCCGAAAAAAATACAGCACCACATCTGCTGCATTAGACTCTCTGAATCACATTTACAGTAGCCTTGATAATAAGCAGTACTGCGCCTGTCTTTTTCTTGACTTGTCCAAAGCTTTTGATACAGTAGACCACAACATCCTGCTTAGTAAAATAAGTTGCCTCGGTTTTTCCGAAAACACAGTAAAATGGTTAAAAAATTACCTCTTTTCTCGCACCCAAACTGTATTCACAGATGGTTGGAGGTCAAACAGTGTTAAGATAACAAAAGGGGTTCCACAGGGTTCCATTCTCGGCCCCCTCTTGTTCTCTCTTTATGTAAATGACTTGGGCACTGAACTGGATTATTCCAGGGTAAATCTTTTTGCAGATGACACGGTACTAATTACTGCTGGCCGCTCTCCGGATGACGTGATTGCTAAGCTCCAGAGTGATTTCAACAAACTACAACATCAGCTAGTTGCTCTTAAACTAGTCCTAAATCCTGCCAAAACCAAGGTGCTATGCTTCTCACCAGGACTAAAGCGGGAAGTTATTTTTCCCCAATTACATACCTTAAATAATGATCAAATAGAGCAAGTCAAGATCTATAAGTATCTTGGGGTCATCCTGGATTCAAAACTGAATTTTGAAGATCACATTGATTATATTGGGAAAAAGACAAAAATTAAAATTGGTTTTCTATATCGACACAAGCACTGCTTCCCTCCTATGTTCCGTTTGGAATTGATTAAAGCTACCGTACTGCCTCTACTTGATTACTGTGACATTGTGTATAAATCAGCCCCAAGTACTGTACTGAAGAAGCTTGACTCAATGTATCACTCGGCCTTAAGATTTGCATTGAACTGCCCATATAGGACTCACCACTGTGATCTCTACATTGGGTCAAACTTAACATCTCTGAATGTTCGACGGCTTGTGCACCAGATCTTATTTATTCATGATGTACTTGCAAAAAAATCTGCAGATTACCTGCTGGATCTCGTCTCTGTTTCAAAGAACAAATTTGACCTAAGGTCTACACTCATTTACCAGCTTAATATTCCCTATTGCCGTACATATACTGGAGGAAGGGCCTTTGCTATTGATGCCCCCAGGGTCTGGAATGCTGTTGCAAATAAATTGAAACTTGAGTCACTACCTATGAGATCTTCACTCAAAACTGCTTTAGAGGAGTTGTACACCCCTAGCTGCCAGTGCTATTCAGTGACCTAAAATAAAATGTTTCGCTCCGGATGATCGCTACAAAGTATGACCTGTGTTTTGATTTAGTGTGCTGATCTTAAAGGTGCATTGAAAAATTACAATACTCCGATTGATGCTCCTGCTGTTGTGGAGTGACTCATGCAGCCAGCTATGGCTGCAGGGTTTTGGTAGTACATGTTGTTTATGCCATTTATTGTGAAAATTCCGTCAGTTCCTATGATTGCTTTTTCATTACCTTCATGGCTTTATTTTGGTGATTTCGAAAAGTGTATTGGTTTAGCCATGTTTGTGTTGTTGTAGTACAGAGTTAGACTGATGGCCTTAATCTAAGTTGTCTTGTGGTTGTTGTTGTTGTTTGACTTGCATCCCACTGGGATTTTTGCACACAGCGTTGGTGTACGGTGTTTTTTCTGCAATATTTTTGCTGTCTTTTCTTGGATTTTCTGTTTGCACTTAGTCACATATTCACTTTAAGATGTTTTTTTGTTCATGTTTTTGTTTTTTGTTTGTTGCGGTTGCACCCGATTCAAGAGCTGAATGGCTCACAGGGCTATACCTAATAAATGAACTTGAACTTGAACTTGACTGCCTGAGAAGTTCCCGGGTGGCTCAGTGATAGGAGCGCTGAGCCTGCACTGCTGAGAACGTGGGTTTGAATCCAAGCAGCCAGCTGTGATTAAACTGGGTTGTTATGTATGTTGAACTCTTGCCGTGTCACCAATGACAGCACGTAAAACGCATCACATGAAATTTGATTCCACATGATATTTACCAAATGTTATTCTATGTGAGTTACAAATATTGGTTTGACTGTCATGGGATGAACATTACTCACTATTATAGGGTGAGTGTCAGAGGGCTGCCTCTTTACTGTGTGGATCACAGGTCACTGAAAGAGATCTCAGAGGTAGCTGTGATGTCTGCTTTTGTGGGCAGTTCTCTAACACGAAGAGTCGCACTGCTCTGTGACGTGATGTCGATAGCACAACCCAGATAAAGTTGGGACAAGGACAAAAAACCCCCGCAAAATCAGGCCTCATGAAGCCATTTCAAGGCAATATCTTGAAAATAACGTGGCACAGATCAGACAGGCATCAGTAGTGGTGATGTCACGTGAGCATAAGTCAGGAGGGTCATTGTGTTCACATAAATGGTAACAAGCCTTGACACCGTGCTCAGTAATCAATTAGGAAGCATTTGAATGAATTCCTAAAATATCCACTGCATTGGATGCAATGTCTCTGAGCTGTATCATCCAGCATGTGGTGTATTTCTGTAGGTGCAAAAAGAGGCGTTTAAAATATTTTATTACACTTTTTTATAAACACTTAAGGATGTGTTTAAAATATCTTACGAGAGCACAGGATGTACAACTCCTTTGCGTTTCTCATGAAATTATGCCAGACATTTTCAGGCGCAGAATAACTATATTATTAAAATAAAACACACAGCTCTAATATTTAAAATACTGTATTCAAACATCATGGACTCCACATCGTTTTTCTGGATTTCAAAGTGTTAAAAATGACGACTGTGTTGTATTACACTCAACTGACCACTTTTACTTATGAAGCATTGCAAAATAACTTAAAGCATTATCAATGTAAAGATAAAAACTTAACAAACTTTTATTGTTATATTTAAAATGACAACATGAATTATAGACATTAACATGAAACATAACTCATTCAAACATGTAATGTCTTCACGTCAAGGGCTTGACACTAACCCTTACTACGCGGTACATGGCAATGCGAGATCAGTCCATCCAGCTTGTGTTCCGCAGAGAGGGAGATGGGCACTCAGGGCTCGGTGGTGTGACAACGGATGCATTACTCCATCCAGGGCCTACTTGCCAATGCTGTTTGAGTTCCAGCACTCATGAATGTGACCCTTATATTTCAGAACATAAAATGAAAAAATGCACATCCGGTTCTGACATTTTTCCACGAACAGCGACGCACACTCAGGTGCACTGCATCGCAGTGGTCAGAGGAAGACAACACAAATGTGCTCAAACTAGTGACCACAATTTGTTTCAAGTTACTTTCTTTTACAATGTCATTTTTCATGAGCTTCACCCCGACGTTTGTGCTGTCGGCGTCATGCTATGAGACGAATAATCCATTCGCATCTCCTCACAGAGCAGCAAGCCTTCTTGTTGAAGAACGGGCCACTGAAGCAGATGCCATAGAACTACCTTCGAGAACCCTTCAATGCGATCTGGTTTGCACAGGAAGAGGAAGCACTTGCACATCAACTGTACCTGCAATGTTCGTCACATGATAGCTAGTCAAACCAACGTTTTATTTTTCAGAATTGTAACTTAGCCAAATTAAGTGCAAAACCTTGCTTTGTGCAGTCACTGGTAATGGAGCTGAAACCATTAATCCACTACCCTTGGGAACACAGTTAAATCACAATTGGTTACCTGGACTTAATCCCAGGATCTCAGCAGTGCTGGCTCAGTATTGTGACGTCTGAGCCACCTGGCCACCTACACGTTAAGTGCACCTCATTCAAGTTACTTATCTCTAGTTAGAGGTGGACACCTCATCCACCACCTCCTCCATGGCTGTGATGTGCTTCTCATTTACACTTGCAATACACGGGCACTGCCTCTCATACTGATGCATCAAACATAGCAGAGTACATCATTTTAAAACACACCTTAGGCAATGATGGTGCGAGGCATAAGAAAACTAAGAAGAAGTATAGGGCCCCAAGGAACCCAAGGGGCCCAGGAGACATGAAAAATAGGGGTACACCACATATGGCCTTAAACTCACATCCTTATAAAAAAAAGTATTAACATGTCTAACAATACTATTAAAATAATGTAAATTTCAATTAATCGGTTTATCTAACTTATCATGTTTGTAATCGTGTAACCCTAACCCAAACACAATGTCTGCTAATGGCCTAGGCTGAATCAGCAGTGCCGCTGCTGCCCCTAGGGCTGAGTGTGCGGCCCATCTCACATTGACGTCCGTGGGCACGCAACGGTTTCTGTCGGTCAGAATATCGCCGGAGTTAGTCTATGCATACCAAGCAGCAAGGAATGATTGCATGCAAATGATTAGACACCTGCTATGTGTGTCACTATGAGGTGTTTATCTTAGTGACACCATATTAAAATTTTATTTTAAGACATAATCCAGAAATATAATTCCTTTCTACCACTCGGTTCACGTAACTTGTCCATCATTGTCGCACTTAAAAAAAAATTCAGTGTAACAGCACCAATGTTTTTTTTTCTTCTGGAGATCAAACACCGAGATGATTGCAAACATGTTCGAGTCTTATTTAAAAATGGAACTGGGATGATCAAGGTAGCCGAGAAACATACATTTTGTACTGTCTGTTTAAAAAACAATACCCAAAGATGCTTAATCATGCCTAGTTTCTCTTTAATCAACCCAGCAAGATAGGGCTTGAGCTACAATCTCTCTCTTTGCTTTCGTCCATGAGTGCAGACGTCACGCACAAGCATCAAAACAGAAAGGAGCGATTGAACAAACAGGAGGTGCAACAGCAAGAGATTGACAGATCGCAGCAAATAACAAATAATTAACTGCAAAGAGTCTGAGTGCATTTCGCTAAACTAAGGCTCATTCCACTCAGTGGGGGGGGGGGTCTTCATCTTCACACTCTGCCAAAATCTTCTCCCCCTGTGAAGACTTGATGTGGTCCCAAAGTGCAACGTTTTAATCCCTCGTGCTTGGTTATAAACCCATCCGCGATCAATCCACTCACTGTGAGTAATCGTCCATCTGCTCCCAATCGCATGTTCCGGTGGCCACCAAAACACAGCGATCGGCGCTTGAGAGGCACCGCCGCTTTGGAAGAGAGGTTGGCGCGCGGCGGAGCAGCCATAGCCAAGGAAGAGCTGGGGTCCCTAAGGAGGACTCATCAGGTTGTAGACCATGCTGCAGACGCAGATAGGAGGCGCGCACCGATCAAAAACCCGTGTCCCTGTTTGAGATATACATGGTAAAACGCAGCCCTGAAACTGTTTGCTCAGGCCACTGTGGGTGGATGGGCCTTCACTGAAGGGAGCTCCAATGGCCTCCCCAGGCCTTCTTGAGAGTGCCCTCTGGGGGGATAGAAATGTAACTTTACGTACTTTTATCTCCCACACTAGCCAGAAATCCAAGAGGAGGTGGGAGTACCCACACTCGACCCAACAACACATCAACTGCTGATCAGCTGTGGTGTTCCCATTGAAACTGCTGGGTGGACAGAGTTGGGGGCATTCAGGAAACTTGCTCATTGCTCCAACTGCCGTGCCAGGAGATAAAACGGGTGACCTCTGAATTGTAAGACCAGTATGCCAACCGTCACCACCAATTTACAACCCTTTGACAATCCAACGCTGGATAAAATACTCTCAATACCATGCCAGTTATGGAGATTGAATATACTTCACCACGACGGTCAGTGTGCGTTGGAGAAGGAGGGACTCAGAACCAGATCAGATATCACTCGCCATTGTTGTTAGCCACGGCCAGGAAACAAACTAGGGTCACCAGTGTGCGTACCGCAGGCACCACCGCTTCACCCCGAGCATACCGTTACCAGCAGTGTGTCTATAGCTAGGACCATTATTATTATTGAAGGCGGATCGGGATCAAAACGATGAAATAAAGAGGCCAGGCAGAGTAAGGTGGAGTGTGTTTGGAAAGCTGGACTTAACGAAGAAAAGCGATTTTACAATGTGTCTAAAAAACGGAGTGTTCAATCAATGCATATTTCCTACTATGCCATGTGGATCAGAAACATGCACTCAACCAAAGAATGTGGAACAAAAGCTCAAAACTGCTAAACAGAAGCACAATTAGATGAATACATGCTGGGAAGTATGCTGAGAAACATACAGGGACATATGTATGAAAGAACAAATACAAATGAGAGACATTATAACAGGGAGAAGAGTAAGTGGGCTTTTGCAGAACATAGCACTATAAGGGATGATCGCAGATAGATGAGACTGGTGATTGAATGGCAGCCAAAGAAGTGAACACACCGAAGAATATGATGACCACAGCAGAAATGGAGTGATGAAATCAGCTCATGTGCAGGAGTGAGACGAATTGTAGCATCGCAAGAGCACAAGGCATGTAAGAATGTGAGGAGGCCTTCATCCAGTAGTAGGTAGAACATGGATGAGGATAAAAGGCAATGGAAATTAGAATGCATAAATCACAGCACGTGACTCCAGCATATTGAAATGAATTTAGTTTGTAAAACATAAATAAACTTATAAAAACAGGACAACGTTAATTAGAATGTTGTCTTATTCTACTGCTACAAGGAAAGTACATTTGTGGAGCTGTAAACATGCAGCAAAAAATACATTTTAGCACATTGAAAGCGATAGCTTTACGCATCACTTTCGTTGTGTAATTATGCAAATTGCTACATATGATGCGAGTTTTACAAATCTAATAATGGTGTTTTCTGGTTTTCTATTTTCCCATGAGATATTCAAAATTATGTTAGTCACACTGCTACATCACCAGTTTATTTTTTGCAGAAGGAAATGTTTAAACGTGTGTACAATGGTGTGTCCTGGGACTGTTTTTGCTGTTGTCTACTGCCTTTCCCAAGCTTAGGAATTTATGTTCTTATACAATTTGAACTTATATATTTAATTGCATATTTATTTATTTATTTAAGAGGCACCACGGTGGTGTGATATTCACTTCCTCGCCTGGTATGCAGGAGGTCAGGGGTCACAGTGTACATGTTCTCCCCATGGTCACGTGGATATTTTATCTGGGTCTTCCGGTTTTTCCCTCCACATTTCGAAACGTGTGTTCAGATTATTTCGATCATTTGGCTGCTATACATTTCCACATCATTCGTAGCCGGGTCGCCTCTGAAAAATAAGCTAATAGCTCAGTGGAATTTATCTAATAAAATATAATAAATATCTTAATTTTTGTATCATTAAATATGTATGTATATACATATGTACACAATTGTATATATTTTTCGTAATCTGCTTACCTTTCCTATACTTTGCACTCCTATCGTGTTTTTGTATTTTTGTTGTTTTAACGTTCTGACCCGTCCCTACTGGACATCTGTGAAAATAACTTTATAGCTCATTGGATTCCTCCAGTAAAATTAAATATTCTGACTCTAAAGCCACAGAACGGCAGCCTCTCCTCCACGGTTAGCACACCAACATTCCACATGCCTAACTGCAGTGGTTTGTTTTTAGAGGAACCCGAAAGGAGGGAACAGTCTCCTGGCTCCACCAAATGGGGTTTGGATTGGAGAACACACAGCAGGATTAGGGAACACAACAAGAATGGAGAACACACACAGAATCATTCAAGCTGTTAAGCAAAGGGAGTGGACTTGGCTGGGACATCTTACGGCTGGAATGAGCGATGGCCAATGGTGAAAATAACAACGGAGTGATAGCCATGGAATGGAATGCAGGTGCAAGGTGGATTATTACATCGCAAGATCATGAGAGGTGGTTGTGGCTCGGGGAAGCCTTCATCCAGCAGTGGATGGACAAATTAATTATTTAAAAACTCACAGAGGCTGTCTTATGGCAGCTCACACACGAGCCCGTGGGTGGTAATGCTCCCACAACACTCGTGCTAAGAGAGTACCATCGTTTGCCGGGAGTCTCGTTACATTCACCACATACGGTAAATACGTAACATTCGCATGATTAAAAGGGCTTGCTTTTAAATGAGCTACAAGCAGCCTCATTGTTTTTCCATCTTCAAAGATGGAAACAATAAAGAAATCATGCCAGCATGAAGATAGCAACCTTTCAACAAAAAACGCTTTTGGCACTTGGTAAAGCGGGTTTGCAATTAAACGTTAAAGTATAACTTTATAATGACCAATGTCTAATTCCAGACCATAAACCACTCCGGTATATACGTATTTATACGCCATTCATTTCGCATCTCTATTTGAAAATATGTATACATGATAGAAAAGCACATGTAATTGATGGTGTACATTTGTAGCGATATAAAACGGCGGGTGTCCAGATTGATCATGAATATTTAATGCGTTTGCCCAAACTACAAGATAACTGGTGCCTCGTAATTAGTCTGACGCTGTATCACCAATAAAAGTCCACTGTACTTTATGGGCCTGTATTAATTATTAAATGTTTTTAAATTTATTTTCAAACACAATTGTTAAACACAGGCCCAAAGGCCTAAAACTATTATTTTGCCAGCAACGACAGCACTCTAAGGTTCACTTTTAAGATTCGTAAACTAGGAGATGACATTTCTGGTCCGGGTGGTGACTACATTATAGATGAGTTTGGCTGTCATTCCAGCACTTGCAGAGTCCCGCACCTGCGGTTAGCATGGTCGGCTTGACTAAGTAATGTGCGAAAGAAGTTCAACATACATACATATATTTTCTCTCTTTATGCATTTTAGCTCAATACCCACGTTAGTATATGGTAATATACCCATCTCCTCCACCTGACATAATTATGTTTCAGATATAAACTGGTACTGAGCCATTGGTATTTTATATAGATGGAAAAATCCGTGTGAGACTTCATTCTAGACATTGTACAGCAGCATATGCATATGTTTTTGCAGCTTGCAGGCAGAAAGAAAACGTGAAACATGCACACCACGTGGTATTGTCACCAAAATTCAAAATCCTTTCAAGGCACGAGTTGCTTGAACGCATTTCCCTGGCCTCCTGGAATGGAGGTCAAGTTATTTATCCTGAAATAGTTGCTTTGCGCTCCCATGGCTGCACATGTTCACCCAGTGCGAATATGTATATACAACACTGTGCTTCAATGGAGATGGAGCAATACAATCGGCTCGTGTGCAGGGCCTATGTAGATTGCTGGATCGCAAGACCATGAAATATGTCTACGACTTGGGGTAGCCTTAATTTAGCAGTGGATAGATCATGGCCAATGATGATGATCAAGGCTTATATTGTTTAAGCAGGTGAGAACTCAAGAGACCAGGATAGTCTCATTTGCAATGGTGACTGGGTCACCAAAATGACAAAAGCAATGATGATAAACAAAAAGTGTGTACTATCAATTCATTTTCTTGGTTCTTTCGGTAAAGTCACGTAGAAGGGAAGTAATAAAATAATACAAATAAAACATAATAAAATAATTCTCACGACGTTTCGATTGCTTGCGTTGTGGCCGAAACATCGTGAAAATTATTTTATTATGTTTTATTTTTATTATTTTATTACTTCCCTTCTACGTGTCTTTACCGAAAGAACCAAGAAGATGAATCCTTGCAGTCACGAAAGCTTTAAATCGAAATATCAATTCATTGTTTTCTCTTTAGTCGTGGCACGATGCTGAGGACCACCATGTTTCACTGCCAGGCAAACAGTTAAATAATCAGCACATTGGAATTGCTGTAACTGCAGACTGCATGGAAATCCGCAGGGTGAAGGCAGCCCCAGTAGATATCACAGGCTGACAGAATTCTTTGTGGTGCAAAGGCCCACCAGAGGGTTGATTGCCACCACACGCCCACCATTCCCCAAAAACTGTGATTCTCCAGTTCAGTGGGCGATACGCAGGGAGCCCAGGGACCCAGCCACACGTAACGGGGGAGATTAAACTGCTACTCAAAGCACGCCCTTCCCAGACGAATAGCGCTCGCGTGCAGTTCCCTTTGAGAGCAAACATTATTGCTAATTTATGCGTAGGCTTTACTTTTTGCGCACACATAATGGTTACACTTATGAAAGCCAACTGAATGTCAAAGATAATCTGATTTATTTTGGCACGAGATTAACCATTTAGTAATTGCTTTTAAAACACAAACCAGGACAAATTTAGCATAGAAAAACAGGTGTGGCGCTCACACGCCTCCATGCGCAAAGCAGTTATCAATCCATAATTATTCAATATCTAACTTCCAGTTGTTGTGCCTTCTCAAAACAAACTGCCACTGCTGCATCAGCGTGCGAGCCATCAAATTGTCCAATCTCCCACTAACCTGTAGAGGTAGTAAAAAAAGGAGAGCAGGTAAAATCCGAGCTTGCACCAGCCCTCCTTGCGACAGTAGGCCAACGCGTCGTCGCCCAAAACAGCACAGGGGTCGTACTGTCCAGGAGAGCTCATCGCCGGTCCACGTAGGTACCTGTGGGGTGTAAGTGACAGGGGCACGCACCACAGATGTGACACAAAGTGATGCCAGCGGCGTTACGTCGACACCCAACGCCAACGCCGTGGCGATGTCGTTGTTACAGGGGCCCTGCTACAAGCTGCGCGAGTCTCTTATTCGATTGTGTTGGCTGCTGCTCACCCAGGAGTGTATGATTTTTTTTGCCTTTATTAGACCGTAACTGGGGCATAAAGATGGATTGCCGGTGCAAGCGTCAGCTTTCTGTGCGGTTATTTTTGCTGGGCATGAAAGAGGTAGGAGCCAGAGAGTAAACAAAAAAAAAAAAAATGATGGACGCAGGTTATATTGTGGCCTGAGGATATTTGTGTTAAGTTATATCCCTGGCTCCATTTTTCACAATTTCCCTGCAACACTGCACCTTCCAACTCTTCGGCGTGCACTCCAAGTGAGCGTTGCAATGCCTGCATTGGACATCATTTGCTGCGCAGAGTCAAACTAAAAATAATAAGTGATCTCCTGCTGTTTAAACAAGCATTGAGGTGGTGCCCATCTCCTATTTACATCCCTGAGCCAGTGGTTGAAATTATATCTTTCTCTGGTGAGAGTGAGTCTTTTCATAGGACAACCACTGTTGACTTCTCCACAGAGCCACTCATTTTATTGACCCCAGATAGATGATGGGCTAAGTCAACCCCCAAACGGGTGTTGAACTCGCAACCATTCCAATTGCGAGCCGCTCACTCTACCACTGAGCCACCTGGTCAAATGTTTATAATAACAACAATAGACTCAACTTCTTGGTTCTTTCGGTAAAGTCACATAGAAGAGACAGACTTGTTCTTCACCTGAGGACGGCTGCTTGCGTTGTGGCCGAAACGTCGTGAGAATTATTTTATCATGTTTTATTTTTATTATTTTTTTTATTATTTTTATTATTTTATTTCCCTTCTACGTGACTTTACCGAAAGAACCAAGAAGATGAATCCCTGCAGTCACGAAAGCTTTAAATCGAAACAATAGACTCCTTTTCAAGATAGTCCTGCAATTGGATGCTTGACCAACATACACAAGGGGATGACGCTGTAAGGTCCACAGAGACAGGTCTATGAGCTCATTAGATGTACTGTCATCTCCTAACTACCTCGCAGCTCAGCGTCTTTGGGAGTTTCACAGATCTCAATCCGATGCACCAACACTTGCCTCCGAGACGCTAGATTACAGACGTGTGCCACCAAACCTCGCTCTTAATGCCCGCTTATCTACAGAAAAACGACCTCGGCAGAGGGAGAATTTACAACACCATATCCACACATTTTCAGGGATCTGTATCTGATGGTGCATGTGTGGTGGGGTGGGTGGCGCAATAACCTACGAACCCCGACTTTGATTAATTATCAGCCACGGCTAACATCGGTGCCGAGTGATACCCAGTGTATCACAACTTCACCACCCCCCCCCCCCTTCTCTTCATCAACCAGTGTGGATTGACAACCAAATTTCAACTATTATTCGAATTATTAATGTGAGCTTGTTATCAGTACAAAAGCAATGCACAATGGCAAATTATATTTGTTGCATTTTACTATTGTATTTACTATTGTAAAATGCAACAACGTTTTCTGACTAAATTATTTGTAAAAGTGTGAACCTACGTTACATAGAAAATCTCATATCTGTAAACTTGCTTCCACTAAACTAAAAATAAAATCCACCAAATTCTACATATTGTGCCATACCCACAGCTGCGCCGCTCTCCGTTACAATGCAAACGGTGAATCTCAATGGGCTCTCGCTGCATAAACAGAGGACATGGAAATGAAATTAAATAAAAATCCACTTTGGCCACTTCAATCCACTTTTGTGAAATGGCCTTTATCACTGTCGAGCACTCACACCACTGAGCACTTACTTTGCCGATCCAATATTTTAACGTCTCTTTAACAAAAAGGTCAGCGACCCTGGGCTAGGGATGAAACTAGATGTCACATTGCCACATGGCATCTCAGCCACTGTTTCAAAAACATTGCATAAGCTATTGCAACGAATCTCAGAGGTGTTTTCTTCTCATGTCTCAGAATGATTCCCTCACAAAGCCTGTCAGCGGCAAATATACGCTTACACCTATTCAGTCGGTGACATGATGTGTTATATTGCTGTGGCTGGGTTGCAGAGATAAACCAACATCGCGATAAATCTGTAGAGATTCACTTCACTTTTGCAAAGAAATGTAGGTCGCTGGGTAAACAATGTTTGATCAAACCATTCCCCCGCTATATGGTTGAAGCCGCATACTCCAATGGGACAGTGCTTAATGAGCGAAAATATCAACAATCTGTCCCAAAATGTATATGTTCTTCTTGAAAAACATGGTCCATTGTGAATTCGAAATGTACCAATTTCAATAACGAGATTGCATAAGGAATGGAGTATATTATTTCACTGAAAATCTGCTGTGTTCTTTGGTTTCCTCGCATAACTAAATAAAACCCATACAATATTACTGGTATTGGTCAAACATCTCAATGATAGAAAATTGTGGGGGGAAAAAACCCAATCCAACAATGTCATGCCTTTGATAGCTGTGCTGGGTAGATTATAAGAAATGTATGCATGCGGCACATACACTGGCATCATAAGCACAAGGGTGCCTGGGAGTGAAGCTCACTTCGCGCCCTGAGGGAGAAGATGCCCGTGAGAGACCAGCAGAGTGCACGCTACACCGCACGCATTTAGAGAGATATTGCGTCTGTCGGTAACCTGCACAATCACACCACTCTAAGCAGATACGGCGTAGGCATTGTCAGATTTGACAACGTGTGATTCAATGTCGCGCAAGAATATAACGGTGGTCGGTACCGAAAATTTTGTATTCAATGTCTACACGTTGGCATTTCTTTTTTTAATGTATGTATTTATTTATTGAATACCAGGTTTCCTTTGAAAAAAAGACTCTTGGTCTCAAGCGGCTCCTATCCGGTCATCTATAAACCCCGTGTCTTGTGTGAAAACAGGAGTGTTATTTTTTTACTGGGGTGTGATTAGCCCTCTTGAATAATGTCTATGTTCATTTAAAAACGCCCGTGTTGCGTTCACCTTCATATGCAGACTCGACTCAGAGATCCGCTTGGACAAAAATGGCAGTTTAGGTCAAATAGAAAAGTGTCCATTTCAGTTTGTATTATTTAATTAAGAGTCAGTGGAACTGGCGCTTGCAGCTATTTTTATGCAAATACATTTTTACCATTTCCTGGCATCACTGTCACTACATAACAAAAGGCCAATGCTGCAGGATTGCCATTCTCACAGGGCAAGGGCAGTCATGCAAATTAAACCCTTGAGTTGCTGCTATAATGATTTCTTAATTAAATGCTGTTGGGTTTTTTCGGTAAAGTCACGTAGGTAAATATAAAAATAAATAAAAATAACATGATGAAAATGATAATAGAAATAAAATATTAATATAAAAATACATATTGTTTTAATAAATAAAATAATAATACAAATGATAAAAAATGATAATAGAAATAAAATAATAATATAATAACAAATATTATTATAATAATAAATATTAGTATTTTATTTCTATTATCATTTTATAATTTGCATTATGTATTTTTTATTTATTTATATACATATTTTTACCTACGTGACTTTACAGAAAAAACATAAGAGTATGAATCCTTGCAGTCACGAAAGCTTCAAATCTAGTCTTAATTAAATGCCAACGATTGCTTAATTAAATGCTGTACAAGTTATTCTAGAAAACTAGCACAACATCAAAGATATATGTCGCCACCTTAAAGTTGCACGTGTATTTATGTGACCAGGCGAGAACTCGAGAGGACCAGGATTGTCTTTGCAAAGAATGATCTGAGACACCAACATCACAAATATAATCACGTAAATTGACGTAACAAACACAGCCAAATTGAAACATGACCAATATAACCGCGTTACAGAAATCTAAAACACTGCATAAACATGAACCAATATCTTCTTGGTTCTTTCGGTAAAGTCACGTAGAAGGGATTCATGAACCAATATTCAATACATTCAATATCCGCTCATAAAATATGGCCTGAACAATTTATAAAAATACATTCATAGTAAAATTACGTTACAGGTGTAGTACTGATGAATGGAGACACACACTACGTGGTTAGAGGTTGCCCGTTTATTAGGGGCCGTCCATAAATGACGTCACGCAATTTTGGACGATTTTTGACCCCCCCTCGTCACACGGCGTCACAAAAAGTCAGACCCCCCCCCTCAAATATGACGTCACAAAGCTCTGCACCCCCCCCCCCCAATAAAACATGCTTCAAATCGCTTTAAACTATTGTCATTGTGCGTATTTAATGTGCCGCTGCACTCTGATGTTGCAGGAGAAAACATTTATTAAAAAGTATATTTAATTAAGTAGAACGTGTTTATATTTATTTAAAGTTGCGCATTTTGATGTGACGTCACATTTCTGAACCCCCCCCCCCCCCCCGTCGTCACACATCGTCACAAATGTCTGACCCCCCCCCCAGGTGCGTGACGTCATTTATGGACGGCCCCTTAACACTTCCTTATATCGGGACTTTTACGGAACTGACTAATTGCTGTAAACGTATCCTATCACTAGGTAACCCACTAAACACGAGGCTATTGACGATCCACGACCCGACAACGTGAACGTTACCCACTGAACCGACCTTTGACGATTTCGGCGCTCCCCTTTTATTCTTTCTAGATTTGAAGCTTTCGTGACTGCAAGGATTCATATTCTTAGGTTTTTTCGGTAAAGTCACGTAGGTAAAACATTAAAATTAATTAAAAAAAATTAAAATCACGACGTTTCGGAGGCAACACAAGCTTCCGTCTTCAGGTGAAACCGTCACAGATATTTTGCTGTGACGGTTTCACCTGAAGACGGAAGCTTTTTTTATTAATTTGAATGTTTTACCTACGTGACTTTACCGAAAAAACCTAAGAATATGAACCCTTTTATTCTGTTCAGCGTGCTCTTGCCCCGCCCTCTGGCTCCGCCCTCCTCCTGGAAGCTCCCAGAAGGGTCGCTCCCTTGACTGCCCGAATCACGTCCCCTAGGGCCGTTCGTGTGCCCCACCCAAGTGGGTGGCAACAGCGCTCTAACTCCCAGGTGGCGGATATTCCGTCATTACACAGGTAACGTCACGTGGAATTAGGGTATGGCAGTAGCTGGTAACCAGACAAGGAGACGTGTCAAACGCACGCATCCTTCACCTTGCAGAGGGGTGGTTTGTTACTTGGGGAATCACATGGGGAAGGGCAAAGGAGCGAAGGAATTTTGATTTGTTACCTCCAGATGTGGTAGCACAGGAGAGGTGCATTTACCCCCACGGCCAGCCACTCCAGGGCACACAGGAACATGAGGCAGAATAAGCTGTGGATGAAATATTCTGGCAGGATCAGCTGTGGATGCAGAGGACATCTCCAATTACTGGATGACACAGAAAACTCACTACAAATAAATAATCAGACAATAAGCCTCCTTCACGTCCCTCCGCGTAAAATAAAATAACAAAAAAGTAACGTATTTTTAAAATCCTTTATTAAATCCTTTATTAAATCCTTTATATTAAGTTCGCTTGCTTGCTTGCGTGCTTGCGTGCTTGCTTGCTTGCTTACGACCGTGCAAATCTTTCGGTCGTTTTTAACCCACTTCCCGTGATCCAATCGAGCTGACATTTTGCACACAGACTCGTGCGTGACAATTAATTTTCGTGAAATTTTTTTTCCAAAATTTGACACTGTTTGGGGAATTTTTTTACAATATTTAATTACCAATTGCTTAATGGTGGCAGACAATCATCTGACCCATAGGTGGCAGCCATCTCAAGCCAGAGGACGAGAGGACTCTAGCCGCCCGTTTCATGATGACGCAAATTTTGACTAACCACATGGCATGAAATCCCTGCCCCCAAGATGTACAATGGAGACTATTTATAGAGCAGTTAAATTGAAGCCGTCAGGTTCTTGAAAGTGGTAAAACGGGTCAACGCTAGTGCCCTCGGGAATATACGGGGCATGTCAAGAGGTGATCTTACATATAAAGGATTTATAGTGAAAAACTTTGTTTATACGGGTTAATGTTTTAAATCCTTTATATTAAGTTCACTTGCTTGCTTGCTTGCGCGCTTACGACCGTGCAAATCTTTCGGTAGTTTTTTAACCCACTTCCGTGATCCAATCGAGCTGACATTTTGCACACAGACTCGTTGTGTGTGACAATTTATTTTCGTAAAAAATGTTTTCCAAAATTTTCCACTTTTTAGGAATTTTTTTTTCATATTTAATTTAAAATACCAATGTGATAAAAATGAAACTCTTACTCAAGAAATACTGAAATTAATAATAAAATAAAACTGATGCCACGCATATAAAGGATTTATAGTGAAAAACTTTGTTTTTACGGGTTAATTTTTAATTATCACATCAGCCACACGGCCTTTTCAGAGTGCATGATTTCGGCGTTGGATCAACAGAAGTTAAACTCAGGACTGTCATTCACTGTCTCGTCAGCAGTCAGGCCAATGCTCACTACAATGCATCCAAGTTTTCCCTTCCTCATGATATCCATAAAAAATAAGTGAATCCAAACCTTATTGATAATTACTAGTTTTAAATTAGTTTGTTATTTTTTATGAGAACACGCACACTTAAATGAGAAATCCGTTTTTTAAGCACTGTACACTACCTCCGTACTGTTGCAAAAAACAGACATAGAACACCAGACAGGCTTCATTAAGGCCTACTGAAATATGACGATATGTCTGAGCAACATAATCAGCGTGAAATGCTGCCTATGTTTGCAACTGTGCTCCCGTATTAACATGATACACTATTTTGTGTATTGGCTGGATTATAATAGAATCAGACCCAGAGGGAAAATATCATCCATTCCAAGTATTCCTTTGGTGCAAAAGTTAAAGGGCAAGTGTTCATCAAGGCCAAATTGCACGCTAGGGCAAAGTCTTCATCTCCACGACAGGTGTTATGGTCCAAATTTGCCAAATTTGAAGATTTACCTGCAAAAAAACTCGGTTGGGATTTCACATAGCAACATCACTGAGTTTTGTGTTTAGTTTATTGTCCTTCTCTCGCAACTCTGATTAGCACAGTTGGCTACGTACGGTGCGAAAGAAGTTTGACATGCATTACACCATGCTGTGAAACTACTGCAGATCATCATCAGATATGCGAAGGCAGAAGGCCTCCTGTAAAGTTAGGCTGGTGTCAGTAGAGATCTGGCAAAACCCAATGCTGCATAACTATTACTGACTAAGGAATAAGTAATATATAGTGTGTGGCCGTGATAGCCTCGCGCTATATAAAAATAATCTGATTTGATCATGCATTGTTAAGTCATTATATTTAGACAGCCAATTGGGCTCGGTCGATTGAACTTTGCACGCAATCGCGATGTCAAGCAAGCGTGCTATCGTGCGCATCTCATCCCTCCGAGCCTTCAGTCCACTGCCATGGCATTGCGTGCCCTATGGAGATCTGAGAGAGAGAGACTCAGGTGTTCTCCAGCATCGCCGGTGAGGTGGTTTTGAATGATTTTGTTTCGTGCTGTTGAAGATCACTCAAGAATTTCGGTAAAAAATGAATAATAATCATATAAGAAATACGTTGCAACATTTCAATCAGACAACTCAATCAGCTGTCTAATTGCAATGCCTTCAGAGTGGAGGGTGATACCTTCATTGGCACTCTGTATATCCAACCATACGATTTAAAAAGCATCAACATAGTTTGAGAGCATTTCAAACATGTAATGGCAGGTCTTACGCTTATCAGTCTAGAGTAGCAATTTTCTTACATTTCATCTTGAGAGCACCACATTTGCATAATGTATACTGCGGGGCATGTAATTAATAAGGACAACGGCAATGAAACGAACCCCAATATCAGCTGCACGTGCTGCACCGTTGACACGCTGTTATCATCTTGATGAAAAACACCTCGATGCAAATTTCTCCAATGTACATTAGGGGGAGCGGTCGGTGCGGTGGTTAGCAAGCTGCGCGATGAACCCAGATAACACAGTTTGATTCCCAGCCATGGCCAACAAGAGCAGTGAGTGGCACCTGATCCGACTGTATACGCCACTGTTATTTTGGCGACCCACGTCACCCGCAAAATGAGACTACGCTGGTATTCTGAGTTATTCCGTCGTTAAACAGATTCAACTAAACTATGCGACTGGCCAGCATGTTGAATCATGGTCAAACGACCCCCACGTTCAACACAACACGAGGAGGCCTTCATCCAGCAGTGGGTGATACAAAATTGATAGAGACATTCTGTAGAAACACCGAGCTCAGTTAGTTTGCGTTTGAACGCCCATCATTCAAGCACCTGCCTGAGACTGTGTTGCTTTAAGACCCAAAACTAAAGGCTGGAGAACTCACATTGCTTAAATGATCAGGTAATAAGTAGTATTGTTAAGTAATAACCAGTAAGCCGGTAATAGATTTCTGAATTTGTTAACGGTTCCGTAGAATATCAGTAATGAAGGCACCGATTAGCAGTTTGTGTGAACGTACAAACCGGAGTGGCCTAAGTCTCCACCTGGTACATTTTCCTTATCTTTTCCCAGTCATAAGATAAAGGTGCGATCCTTGCCTGCACACACCAGACGGAGGAGCTAGAGGGTAGTTTGTCTACTCTTCAACGCTAGTCAGATGCTATAGAAGAGATAGGTGTACCCACACTTTACCCCGCCATGTATACAGCTGGGTGGACATAAGCAGGGTAATTTGAGAAACTTGCCCCAGTGTTCATGTTCTTGGTTCTTTCGGTAAAGTCACGTAGAAGGCAAATAATAAAATAATAAAAATAAAACAATAAAATTCTCACGACGTTTCGATTGCAACACAAGCAAGCATCATCAGGTGTGAAAACCACGGCAAGAAAATGTAAAATCGAAATTTGCTCCAGTGTGTCAACTGCCGAACCAGGAGTTGGAATTGAACCAGCGCCCTCTGAATTGCAAGTCCAGTGCGCTAACCATGACACCGTAACAGTTTCCCTTCATTGCCTGGTTAAAAAGCATTTTTATTCATGTTTACCGCTCTGTACATTTCCATATGTGCAACAAATCATGAACCGGTCTTTGACCACGCTTTCAATGCAATTATCCGTAATGCGAAAGAAAGCCCAAACATTAACAACCCGAGTAATAACGGTCCATTTGGCACCACTACACCGCAGCTCTGACAACAAAATGGCGCAGTGAGTGAGCCACCTGCCCAGGTGCTGACATATCGTCAAACACTGCCAAATAAATGAAGCATCACACAGGGAGGGACCATTCACAATGCCTGCAGAGAGGCAACAAACGGCTTTTTTGGCGGAGACTGATCGACATACCATTACCATAACACGGGTACATATCATCGGACATGAAACGTACAAAGTGGCCAGGAAGACGCGTGAGTGCCGAGGCCTTTCATTAAATTGCCTCGCCGCGAACGCTTTGAGATGTTTAACGTCTACAGACGATGAGCGGCGCGCTCATTCTTCCCCTCCCCTCGCCCCCCCCCACCACCCCGACTGGATGAGGTTAAGTGCTCGTGGTGTTAGTCGGAGGGGCGACGCGCCGTGTCGGAGCGGCCGAGCCGCCCGCTTGAGCCAACAAATCCGAGTGTGGTGCAGGCCGAATCCGAGTGTGGTGCAGGCCAATCCGAGTGTGGTGCAGGCCGATCCCACGCAGCCATCGCGACGCAAACCGCACAGCCCGCCTACGTGGGACCTTATGAATCTCATCATCATCGTTATTTTACTCGTTTACCCAGGCATGCCTCGCTGAGTCTCAAGACTATTTTTCAGAAGGGTCGTATGATATGTTCGCAGTAGGGGGGCGATGTTGCTGCTGCTACTGCTGTGTGATCCCAATTGAGTCATTTGCAGCTAAGTTTTCAGCATTGGTATGTTTTGGCCTTCAACAGTAAATTTGATGATTCACAGGACCTGTAGAAATTATTGCTACCACTGCGCCACTCTACTGCCAAAGGCACGCAGTTGCTACTCCTGATAGTGCTGTGCTACCAACCTGGCGCCCTGAGTTTGATTCCTGGCCACGGCCAACATAATTGGCGAGTGATCTCGAAACTGGCCCTGGCGCCCCACCTTTACCAACCAGCACTGCCCAGAGTGTTGAAGCATGGTTCAAAACAAAACCCTTCAATGACTGCCACATCATAAGGAAGCTTTCATCCAACAGCGGACTGACAAAGGGCTGCAAATATTTATAACTAATAGAATTTGATTTTCCAATGTGAGCTGTACCTGTTCACTTGACTCAAATGAGTTCATGTTTCTTATCATAAGCATCATTCAATGCATATCACCTGCTCTGACGCATGGTTCATGAACACTGTCATTCCAGAATTTTTTGACAAAAATGAAAAAGACCATAAAGAAGCATAACAGTATACTGAGATACAGAGGAACACGTCGATTGGAGAACATACGCAGGGTAACCGTTAACGACATCATCCAAACCATTCAGAAAAGTGAGTGGGCTTGTGCAGAACATGTGATGGTGAGAAGGGACGATTCTGGACAGTTGTCAATAATAATTATGGAATGGCAGCCACGGAACGGAACGCATCCAAGCGGAGATCCAGCGAGGAGATGGAGCAATGAAATAATTTCACGTGCAGCAGGTGCTGGATGTGTAGTGAGTTCAACTGAGTCGCAGACGTACCTCTTGGAGGCAACACATTTATTAAAACCAACACACGGGGCACTACCCCTTAACACATTAACAGCCTATGGTGGTGTACCACCAGGCTAACTACAATAATCACACTGGAATTAGCTACGACGGACCGGACTCTGGCCAGGGTCCAGGTCCACGTGTTGATGACTCTTATAGGACGTAGAATGTAGATTATTCAGGATGAACAACAGCAGCCGGTCCCGCTCGGGGACCCGGCTTATATCCTCTGTAGCGGAGCTGGCTCCGCCCCTGGCCACGACCACCTTCGAGAATCCTCGAGCAGGATCTCCACCTGACACGTGACCACCCCTAGCCCCCACTTTGGGGGCCCCTGTGTAGACTCAACCGCTCACGTGTCCTTTCGGGTCAACCAGAATGCCACGGCCTTTAGTAACCTTGTTTCCATGGCCGGTACTCTCACACCCTATCCCAGGGGTTCGGCAACCTACGGCTCCGGAGCCGCATGCGGCTCTTTACGGGCTGCTTCTTGACGATATGTACGTATGTACAGTATGTACTCAGATGCATTGCGGCTCTTGAAATACTGAATTTTGTACCGAATTGGAAAGAAATGACTCTTCTTGTTATTTTGGTTGCCGACCCCTGCCCTATCCTGTAGGGGTTGGTACTGCACGCAGAGCGTGGTGCCACTCAGCACTGTCAGACAGCGCTCACCGAGCCCCTCTAGGGCCGTTACTGCACCCACATCCACGTGGTGCCCGCGATGTGGTTACATCGCACCCCGTGCCTCTCTAGAGCCGACAATACACAGTGACATCCGCGATGACACTACGCATGGATTGTTGCTTTGCAGGATGGCGAGAGTTGGTGACGGCTTGGGGTAGGCCTTCATCCAGCAGTGGATTGACCATGGCCGATGACAATGAAACATTCTGTTGAGACGCTAAATGAAGACGCACGAATCGCTTTGATCTGCACAAAGCACGAGTCATCGGCACTCGGTGGATGTCGTGGGGCAGTCGGAAGACAAAGAGACTCAACTGGACCCAAGAGGCTGCTGCTTTCAGAGTTAATGACCAGCGCTGATCTCTTTCTATAAAACGCATGACGACATTAACGTGAGGCAATGAAACAAACGGTAAAGAACCACGGCTTAAAAACTCATCCGTATAACAGCAAAATGAGACATTGTGTGTATTAATAACCAATTTTTACGTGAACAATCCAAGTAATGTATTGCTCAAATGAGCATTGTGGTGCTGCTCATCTATTTACAGCCGAGTCAGTGGTGGAAATTCCACATTCTATGGTGGGGCCAGTCTATACATAGGACAACTACTGTTGACTTACCCCACAGAGTGGTCCTCTTTTTATTAGCCCAAAGGAATGATGGGCTTACAACCCTCAAGCAGGAATTGTACTCGTAACCTTCTAATTACGAGCCCATCTCGTTACTGATGAGCCATCTGGTCAGATATTTCGACATCCCATAACAAAAGACAAAACTTATAAATGTATAACCGATATATTTTTTTAAAATCACAGATGCAGCAGAGGTTGGCGACCCAGAAAATATTTCCACGCCCCGGCACACCGCATCCAGTCGACCTCTCGCGATGGCCACCAGTGAATGGTGAACCTCCCGGCTTACCGGCCACTGACTGTGAGAGACTGGGCACGCAGAGCCCCGGGACGCGGGCAATCAACGACACTGCGGGCGGCGACGCGGGAGTGAGCCAGTGGGAGCCTTGCTAGGACGCGCGTGACCACAGAGGAGTTGTGTTCCTTTAAATGCGTGCGCGGCAAACATTATTTAGAAAATAATAATGATGATGATGATAATAATAATAATATGGTAATTGGTTGTTCACTTCGGATGGTTTCTCTTCTGTACTGGGGTACAGACACTCACACATCCCGTCATTGCTCCCGGCCACAGCGGCAGTTCGCAGGAAAGGTTGGAACGAATAAAGGGACATTCGTATTTGTGTAATTGTGTTTTGTATAGTTACGTTTAATGGGCTAAGGACAGAGAATGAATATTAATCCTAAATACTTTAAAAACCTCTGAACACGTAGACATGTGATTAATATACCAAAAAATGTCACGTTAATGTTTTCCCGAGCGTTATTTAATTGACAAGCAATGAACAACATCAAACGCAAAGAAACCAAACATAATTATGCATGCGTACAATACTAATTTCCAAGTGGGCCAGATCTTTTTTTGATTCTACGAAGCTACGTGGCCGTTGTGATAATATTACGGCGGCGAGAAAAACGGCAGCACGGTACTTGCTGCCAAATCTATCGCGATCCGAAATTATAAATATATTTTTTAAATCGCATTGCCAATCTTGGCTCAACGAGGTGTGGACAAGCAGCGCTAACGAAGCTGTCGCACGATCCAAAGGTTCGCGACGTGCCACCGTGCTCTCCGTTAAATCACAGCATCGATTCATCGGCCAAGCACGAGACACGCACTATACCGGTAATGCTAATTTAGTGGCGGGGGGGGGGGGGGTGTTAAATAAAACAATAGAAATATGTGTTGTATTCCACATGATTAATAAACTGGCATTCAAATAGCATTCAACCATTTGTCATTCATTAATTGAGATCACTGAATGGAACGCGATTAGTGCTGGCGAAGAGAGGCTGGCACCAAATGTCAGGGCTCTTCGTGCGCGCCGTGGTAATTACCAGTGAGCAGCATCGCTCTGCGTTTCTCGGTATGGAATCCAATTAACAGGTTCTCTGTGCTTGGCTCTAAGGTCCCTTCTCGACACAATTAGAACTTTAAAATGCACTCGTGGTCTAAAGGCAGCGCACATTTAAAACGTATTTACCTTTTTTTTGCTGTACATTTTTCAATGTGAAATTTAAATCCTTGCAATGTAATTGAAGTGCCATTGAAATGTATTACGTTTTGCATACGTGCATTGTTTGTTGTGCAAAGTTAACAACAAATTGAATCACACACCAGAAATTAATAAGAACTAATTTAGTAAAATATTGATTTCAGCAACACATTTGCCAATGCTTAAACAGCAAATGTTGCATTGCAGGGGGAAATATAAATTATCATTATTGTCTCGGAAACACGCAGAAACTGTACTCATACTGCTTTACAAAATCTATTTCATTAAATGCCTTCAGTAATTATTGTTTCATTTTACATTATCGGGACATTCCAGCATACTTATATGGGCTTCAATCCCCCAAGGGCTGCCTGATTTACATTACCAAGTGCGATTGTTTTCTGAGTAGCTACATTTACGCAGAATTATCTCAGAAGGAAATTGATTACATTCACATCACTGAAAATTATTGTGCTGCAGAGTGCACTCAGTGGTATTTTCCTTTTGAAATTTACATGGAATAAAGTGCATTATTCTTTGTCGCATCACAACTTAAACTCTCACGACAGATTTTGGGAGCTGATTGCCTAAATGCCTTAGATTTGCGATTGCTGAATTATGGGCCCGGAAATTTAAGTTTGTAATTGCATTCGTGTCTTACTATGCTTATGATAACATTGTTTCCATAATGCGCTGTAATTGCCTTAATTAAAGGAATTATTTCAGGCGGAGTAGGGGACATTGCAGATACGGCGTGTCTCCAAACAATGCGCAACAACTCCGGTACTCGGCAAGAATGCCATGGACGGCTTTGTATACCCGTGCGAAATGTTCCTTTGATGCTCCGTTACTATTTGACTGCGCCGCGTCTGGGGATAATCTGTTGCCTTCAACTCAATATAGAAAGCAGCTGCAGACTCAGCACAGCCTGGAGCGCCCGTGGGAATGGAGTACTGCGAGCGAACGTTCCTGCGATTTATCGGGAGGCCCAGGCTCACACGGGCCTCGATATACGGGCACGTCTTCCATAGGCCAGCCAGCAAGCCCGCTCCGCGCAAGACAAAGAACACGGCGCGCTCTTCGCAAACAATGGTGTGACGGGCGGGCGAGGGGTTAAGCCAACCTGTCTCAGCATGCGGCAGATCCGTTCAATTTTCCTCATCCGCTCTTGCTGCATGCAGGCGACAGCATCATGCGCACGCACACACACACACGCACGCACGCACACACACACGCGCCATTTCAATAAGTATAATTATGAACACGTTCACAATATCTGTTCATTTACGCACTCGATTTAGACTTCACACGCAGCATGCATTAGCTCATGGAACAGAAACACGTGTGCTATGTTACCATCAGATCGCTTCAATAAACAAATGCATATCTGCAGTGGAACGCGATTAAAACGGCTCGTGTGTGGAGTTAAAAGGGCAGATCTTCTGAAGCCCCCATCAATACACGGGCACTTCGGATTAAGCGTAACCGCGCTCCGACTGCACTTACCCGCCAACTAGGAGAACATTTGTGTTATTTACTTTACCGAGGCTGAGCATTAATAATACATTCCACACTCTCTCTCGCCGTGCTGCCCTGCACCTGTGTACACCGTGTAAGTGTGTATAGCACAGCGTGGAGGGCTTGTGCCATTATCTTGCCGGGTGCCGATGTTCAAAAGCAATTGCTGCTATAATCGTTTCCGCCAGGACTTTCCGTGTGTGTGAATTTTATCCAAATTGTCAACAGCCTTGCACTCTGCTTTTTTTGCGGAAATTAATACTCTTGTTGTGGGTTCTTTGTTTCTACTTGCGCATCACTGTCATATATCTATGCGGCACATTGGAACGGTATTTATTTTTGCATCGTCACTGTACGAAATCTCTATCGTGCCGCACAATTGACGGAGGTGTTTAATGCGAGCTTCCCACCACGACGCCCCTGCGGAACACTCCGAGTCGGTGCCAAGGGACGACCCGCATCATCCCGGCCCGAAAGGCACTACTAATTGCGTCACACCAGCGTAGTCAATTAACTTGTTGCCATGAAACTCCACGTGGGAAACCTGGCCTGGCACCGATGCCAGCCGGGGGCGCTGGCTCTGTGCGTCGCAAGTGACGCGTGCAGGTGAACTCGTTTATTGGTGCGTGGAGGCAGCGAGTCATTATCTTCGCGCTCAGCTCGGGGAGGAAGCCAGAGCAGTTCCGCAAGGAAATGTAGCGGCTGACAAGACTCAGGTGGGCTGTTCCGGACAGTAACACCGGGGAGGGCTGGAGGGGGCTGAGCTCCTCCTGCGTAAGGATCAGATGCCCCTTCTAAGCTCCTATTGGCAAGCCACAATTTCGCGCGTAAGCGTTACTCGCGTGCGATTGCTGCGTGTGCGCGACTACTTGACGTTGCACGCGCGGGCAACCGACTCGAGTAAAAAAAAAGGATTTAAATCGGACTGCAGAAAAATGTCATGACACCTCTGCATGTGTGTACCCCCCCACCTCACTCTCCGTTGAAACCAGGTCAAGCTACAGGGTTGGTCATGAATATGCCACCATCCCTCCAAATACTGGACCCACGAGCTGGCAAAGGGGCTGGCACCACGGCGCGTGGGTTAAGAGGGGCAGCCTCGCGGCACTCTCCCCTGTCTCCGAGTCCTCCGGCGGGGCTGGCGGTCCTCTCTGTCCACTCCGCGTGGTGTACCTCGTTCCTCTCTGCCCACTCTGTCCGTACCTTGTTCAACACGTTGCTGTGCTCGAGGGGACTCGTGCATTCGCGCTGGAGTTCGTCAAAAGCAGCGATCTGTGAGGAGGAGGAGGGGAGGGAGGCGTTACATTGTTAGCTCGCGGGGACCGTGCTCAAGACTGCGACGTTTCGTGAATTTACATCGCGGCTTGCACTTAGCGCAGTGCACGACTTTATGCAAATTCATGCAGCACGTCTTATGCAGACCCAAGCAGTGCACGGCTACATAGATGCACATGCAGCACACAGATGTATTGAAACCCGTGCAGTACACGTCTGATGCATGTTCAATGCAACGTGCGCAAGTACATTCCAGTACACCTGTTAATTATAAACGCGATAGTGATATATGCAGACACATTTAGGGCGCAGCAACAAGAAACCACATGCACTACACGACATGGATACGCATGCAGTGCGCTACAAACCCACGCAGTGCAATGCTGTGTACATACGAACTCATTATAGTAACATGCTTTATGCAAACCCATGGCTTAAGTTATTGGGTATTAAACACCCACACCAGTATTCGACTCGATACAAACTGACATTGTTACCCCTGGCACAAAGCATGCAATGGAACGGCATCGGCGACAATGAGGCGGCATCGGCGTGCGCGTGGGCGCACGGAACGCCGCCTCTTCCACAGAGGGTCCACCATCGCTACAGACAGACGAGCAATGGGGCTAATGATAGCCCACCACTTCAGGTAATCATTACTTATAATAGCAGGTTGGCTGACTCTGCAATTAATCTCCACGCCCGACTGCCAGATCACCAGCCGTGTGCTGCAGCCGATGCCCCCTTTAACCCGTCGCTCGGTAGCATATGCTCGCGGTTATGTAAGGGCAGTTATCTGAGACACACGTGCGGATGAGGAGGTTTGCGCCAAACACCTCGAGTGAGAGTCAGCCCTTGCTGCCGAATCTAATTCGGTGTAAGTGAAGCAGGCGTCCGCTCCTGGTGTTATCCGTCATCATCACCATCAGCCATGATCTATCCTGCTGCTGTATTAAGGCACCCCCCCCCCAAGCCGTTGCTACTTCTTAGAGTCTCGCAACGCATCGACAGGTCTGGCACCTGCACGCCAGCTGATTGCATCGCTGAGTCCTTCGACTCAAACTCCAGACATCATCCCTTCCAGAGAGCTGCCCAAGCCCACCGACTTCCCAAACAGTCAAGGAGATGTCTAACTCGTGTATGTTCACTAATGCGCAGAGCACATTGCGTTGCATTCTGCTTGTTCACTCAAGACTCGTTTTCAGGAGGGTCTTGCCAAGTTTTCGCATCGGGGGCGCAGTTGCTGCTGTGTGTAACCCTAATTGAGTGATGTGTCGGTAATATGTCTTTAGCATTGGGATGTTTGGACAATACCGTTACATTGCGTGGTGTGTTTTCAGCCATGGGAGAACCCGGAGGAAACCCATGCAGAGCAGGGGGACAACATACACACTCCACACATAACCCAGGCACTCGTTTCTGTGATGAGCGAGAGTTACCACTGCGCCTCCCTGCCGCTCGGTGGACAAGGGACGTGGACATTGACGAACAAAGCGGAATCGGCGGAGGATGCGCAGAGCGACGTGGACTCCCACTGCTGTACTCTACAACCTATGGTGTCATGTCACACCCAGAGCAATATTGTCAAATATACACAACACACCGGTGGGCTAAAGCAGAGGTCGCAATCGGGTACCCGATACCCGTACCCTATCCGATACCCGGCTACCCGTACCCGGCCGGGTATCATCTGGTCCAACACCATGGCGTCATCTGGTCCAACACCATGTAAGACTAGGCTCTAAGAAAAGCTGTCTCGGGTGTGGACCAATCAATTTCAAGGACAATGCATAGATTATCAGAGTTGTGTTTTTTTGTTTGCATTCCGACCGCAAGTATTGTGGTCAATGCAAACATGACTCCTTGCAATAAAGGTGTCAGTTTTGTTGCCAGATAAAATGGTAAAAAAGCAATGATCATAACTACACTCATCATCATGGGTCAGCGTCTGTCCAACCCGCACTGACCAGCTTGGTGACGTATAGCTAAGCAACCTCAACGAGCGACGTAGCGTGTCAAAAAGGCCTTCATCCAGCAGTGGAATGCCAAGAGCTGTAAATTATTAATCATGTACGCAGCTGTAATAGTAACGATATTATCAACAATCTGCCTGTTCGACGTGTTCTCGCGTCGAAGTTGAAGTTCGTTACCACACTGGCCTGACGCCGTTACAGACCAAGTGGGCCGCGTGTAAATTTGATTTGCATCACGCGATGTGAAGAAACTCCACTATTAATAGACACGACCGCACATGATTCATTATTTTGCTTCATTTTCCAAAAATTAACAACTCTAAATGTAAGTGCCACAGCAGCCAGAGTTCCCCACGACGCATCGTCCTAATCCGCCTTGCAATGTTTTCAATTGGGATCACCTACATCGCTTAAACAGATTTACAGCCCTTTCTCAATCAACTGCTGGATGACGCCTCCTCTTCACAGCCATGTCTGGCGCAGAGGTCGTTTGACCATACTTCACCACGCTGGTCCACAGCGCGCGGCTTGGCGAGGTGGCGTGGCGTTGCGGTGGCTCGGACCCGGTCCGGATATCGCTCGCCACCGGTGGTAGCCGAGAATCATGCAAAGCACGGTTGAATATGAACGATCGTGTAAAATAATTTACCCCAACAAGCCTCGCAGTCTTGGAATTACGTTTGCCGCGGGTCTGGCGGCGGGATGCTTGGCCAATGAACTCTGGACTGCAATGAGTGAGCCCTGCACGGTCTACGCGTGCGGTCTCCCCCGAGAGCACGGAGCGGTCGGATGTTAAACGCGAGTTCAGTCATCGCGGATTCATCACCACCCACAAGACAGAGATCCCACGCTCAGCCTCAACAGACTGTTGGGGCAAGTGCTGTTAGCGAAGCACCTATGAAAGCCGACACGGCACACACAGGGGGTGGGTGGCCAGCACCGCGCCCGGCCGTCTTTGTATCCCAAGTTCTGATGTTTACACATCGCACCAGGTACCCATTTAAGGCTGAGTGAGCCTCGGGGAGGTCCTGGACCGGTTCAGATATTCGCCACTGTTATTGGTCATTGAGCGAGAATCCAACTCTGTTCGCCGGTTTCATAGCGCAGTGCGCTAACCACTGCGCCACCACTCCCCCAAAAGCGCACACACACAAGTGCATTGCACCACTTGAGATAAACATTACAGCAGTACTCGTAATGCCCAATGTTTACCCGGAGGGCCCTGCAATGAGATGTTTGAACTACGCCACGCTCTCGATCGGCTTCACGTGAGAGGAACGGGGGGAAAGCCAGACAAACGCTCACAAATCATCCTGGACGGGTTACACTCAAAGCGCCACACAGATGGATTCAATCATCATTTGCTGCAACTGGCATCAACTGGCTACCTCGCAGCCCAAGTACTGTTCGCCCGGGCAAGTCTCCCACGAGCCAAGCGCGACTCACCGGCACTCAATTCGGTGCAGCGCGTTGTGCGGGCAGCAGCAGCAGCATCACTCACGTGCCAGATGGCGAAGAAGATGAGCGTGGAGCACAGGAGCAAGGCCAACATGTAGCAGAAGGCTGAGAAGCTGAACGCCATGGTCGCGAGCCACTACCGCCACCACCTGCCTGCCTGCCGCCGTGTCGCGTCTTCCCCGTGCCGCTGACGCTCCGTTGCTCGCTGTGGAATCTTCGTCGCCAAAGCCGTCTTCTGCACTGGCCCGAATTCCTTATTGTCTCCTATTATTATTAATATAACTACTTTTCACGTCTAATATTTTCTTTTTACACCACGACCGACGGTTGAGGGTTTGGAAGACTTTATTAATATGTTCTTAATTTAGAGCCACCCTCCGTTGATTTCATGAGAAAAAAAACGAACGTCGAACCAATTTCAACGGCCCTAATCCTTGTAATAATATGAATTATGATCGCAGAATTCGTGCCAAGGGTGCCCGCGGAGGAAACAATGGGTGCGGAGCACTCACTGCGTGGAGAGAGACTCGAGGAGCCGCGCCGCGCTTCGATTGTTCAAACCGGAGGCGGTGGGGGCTTTGCTGGGGTACCACTGAGCCCTGGGAGGGCGGGGTGGAGCCGAACGAGTCTTACAAACACCCACTCACCACTCACCCTCTCACCACTCACCGTCTCATCACTCACCCTCTCATCACTCACTCTCTCACCACTTACCGTCTCATCACTCACTCTCTCACCACTCACCCTCTCATCACTCACCCTCTCACCACTCACTCTCTCATCACTCACCCTCTCACCACTCACCCTCTCACCACTCACCCTCTCACCACTCACTCTCTCATCACTCACCCTCTCACCACTCACTCTCTCATCACTCACTCTCTCATCACTCACCCTCTCATCACTCACCCTCTCATCAATCATTCTCTCATCACTCACCCTCTCATCACTCACCGTCTCACCACTCACCCTCTCATCACTCACTCTCTCATCACTGACCCTCTCATCACTCACCCTCTCATCACTCACCGTCTCATCACTCACCGTCTCACCACTCACCGTCTCATCACTCACTCTCTCACCACTCACCCTCTCATCACTCACCCTCTCACCACTCACCCTCTCATCACTCACTCTCTCATCACTCACCCTCTCATCACTCACCCTCTCATCACTCACCGTCTCATCACTCACCGTCTCACCACTCACCCTCTCATCACTCACCCTCTCACCACTCACCCTCTCATCACTCACTCTCTCATCACTCACCCTCTCATCACTCACCCTCTCATCACTCACCGTCTCATCACTCACCGTCTCATCACTCACTCTCTCACCACTCACCCTCTCATCACTCACCCTCTCACCACTCACTCTCTCATCACTCACCCTCTCATCACTCACCCTCTCACCACTCACCGTCTCATCACTCACTCTCTCACCACTCACCCTCTCATCACTCACCGTCTCATCACTCACTCTCTCATCACTCACCCTCTCACCACTCACCCTCTCACCACTCACCCTCTCACCACTCACTCTCTCATCACTCACCCTCTCACCACTCACTCCTCTCATCACTCACGTCTCATCACTCACCTCTCACCACTCACCCTCTTCATCACTCACCCTCTCACCACTCACCCTTCACCACTCACGTCTCATCCACTCACCTCTCTCGTCACTCACCCTCTCATCATCACCCTCTCACCACTCACTCTCTCATCACTCACGTCTCATCACTCACCCTTCACCACTCACCCTCTCATCACTCACCCTCTCATCACTCACCCTCTCATCACTCACTCTCTCATCACTCACCTCTCATCACTCACCCTCCTCACCACTCACTCTCATCATCACCCCTCTCACACTCACTCTCTCATCACTCACTCTCTCATCACTCACTCTCTCACACTCACCCTCTCATCACTCACCCTCTCACACTCACCTCTCATCACTCACCCCTCTCATCACTCACGTCTCATCACTCACCTCTCTCACTCACCTCTCACACTCACCTCTCATCACTCACCGTCTCATCAATCACCCTCTCATCACTCAACTCTCACTCCCTCTCACACTCACTCTCTCATCACTCACGTCTCATCACTCACCCTCTCACCACTCACCCTCTCATCACTCACCCTCTCACCACTCACTCTCTCATCACTCACTCTCTCATCACTCACTCTCTCACCACTCACCCTCTCATCACTCACCCTCTCACCACTCACTCTCTCATCACTCACCCTCTCATCACTCACGTCTCATCACTCACCGTCTCATCACTCACTCTCTCATCACTCACCCTCTCATCACTCACTCTCTCATCACTCAATCTCTCATCACTCACGTCTCATCACTCACTCTCTCACCACTCACCCTCTCATCACTCACCGTCTCATCACTCACTCTCTCATCACTCACCCTCTCACCACTCACCCTCTCACCACTCACCCTCTCACCACTCACTCTCTCATCACTCACCCTCTCACCACTCACTCTCTCATCACTCACGTCTCATCACTCACCCTCTCACCACTCACCCTCTCATCACTCACCCTCTCACCACTCACCCTCTCACCACTCACGTCTCATCACTCACCCTCTCACCACTCACCCTCTCATCACTCACCCTCTCACCACTCACTCTCTCATCACTCACGTCTCATCACTCACCCTCTCACCACTCACCCTCTCATCACTCACCCTCTCATCACTCACTCTCTCATCACTCACCCTCTCATCACTCACCCTCTCACCACTCACCCTCTCACCACTCACTCTCTCATCACTCACTCTCTCATCACTCACCCTCTCACCACTCACTCTCTCATCACTCACCGTCTCATCACTCACCCTCTCACCACTCACTCTCTCATCACTCACGTCTCATCACTCACCCTCTCACCACTCACCCTCTCATCACTCACCGTCTCATCACTCACCCTCTCACCACTCACTCTCTCATCACTCACGTCTCATCACTCACCCTCTCACCACTCACCCTCTCATCACTCACCCTCTCACCACTCACTCTCTCATCACTCACTCTCTCATCACTCACTCTCTCATCACTCACTCTCTCACCACTCACCCTCTCATCACTCACCCTCTCACCACTCACTCTCTCATCACTCACCCTCTCATCACTCACGTCTCATCACTCACCGTCTCATCACTCACTCTCTCATCACTCACCCTCTCATCACTCACTCTCTCATCACTCAATCTCTCATCACTCACGTCTCATCACTCACTCTCTCATCACTCACCCTCTCATCACTCACCCTCTCACCACTCACTCTCTCATCACTCAATCTCTCATCACTCACCGTCTCATCACTCACTCTCTCATCACTAACCCTCTCATCACTCACCGTCTCACCACTCACTCTCTCATCACTCACTCTCTCATCACTCACCCTCTCACCACTCACTCTCTCACCACTCACCCTCGCATCACTCACCCTCTCATCACCGACCCTCTTACCACTCACTCTCTCACCACTCACTCTCTCATCACTCACCCTCTTACCACTCACTCTCTCACCACTCACTCTCTCATCACTCATCCTCTCATCACTCACCCTCTCACCACTCACCCTCTCATCACTCACCCTCTCACCACTCATCCTCTCACCGCTCACCACGATCACCGTGCGCCGTTATCTCATGTCACGACTTCGCTCAACATTTCTCGTGTCGTGTTCACCCACTCACCAGCTCACCATTCATCGCCTGATCATGACTCGCCACTCAGCGCACCTATTTCAAAATCTTAATATTACGCAATGCACCTGCTCACCACTGCTCACCACTCACACCACTCGCTACACACACACACACTAATAAGCACTCACTAACCTCACTAATTACCATTCACCTCCTCAATATCTCAACATTAAAATGCTCAGATTATCATCACTCAGCTGCTCACCATCTCACTCCTCATTTTATAAACCTCTTAACCATGAGCTAAGCCAACCTCCCACACCACTCACCTACTCACCCTCACCAATCCCACGACTATTATATCAAGTACGCCTCAAGACGCACATTACTCACTGATCGTCAGTTCACCAGCGATTTCCCCACAACGCATCACCCAAACCCTCACGATGGGTGAGCTGTGCCGTACTCACAATCGCAGCTCCCCACTCACCCCCGCTCACCACCACTCCCCGCTGCTATGGCACCGTGTGTGAGTGAGCGAGCGAGCGAGCACGGATCGCGCCGACCCGACAGGAGACGAGGAAGAGACGAGGAGGGAGAGGAGAGGTGGGGGGGTGCCGACACCAACAACACAACCATTAGCGTCACCACGAGCAGCACCACCGCGACCACCACCATCATCGTCGCCATGCGCGTCTTCACGTCACCGGCACTACCGTCAACATCGACAGCACCATCGCTGCCGACACCATCAGTACCATCACCACTGCCACCAGCATCACCGTCATCACTGCCATCAGGCAAACTCCATCGTGAGCTTCGCTCCGATTGCCACCGTGAGAGAGAGCACTGACAACACCGTCGTGAATTCGCCACGTGTAGCCTCGACGGCTACCAGTCATCGTAGTCATCTCGCCTGCTAGCGAGCTAAGCCACGTGCACGAATCGTACACTTCCCAAGTCTGTCTCTCCACGTACAACACAAACGTGTCCTCCACGTAACGGCCGAGGGATTGTGCAAAACTTATTCTGTGTTTTTACGCGGAGAGGCAGATATAAGGAAACAGTGCCCGCTTATTTACATTATCCGCAATAACGCTCGCGATTAATATATAACCACTAAACACAGTACATCACGCAGTATTCGTCAGCCACGATCAGTCCACCGCTGGATGAAGGCCACCCTAAGCCGTGGCCACCTCTCACGGCCCAGCGGCGTGGCAATCCGCCCAGCCCGCTCGCTCGAGGCGATTTTCACGGCAATGATCACAGCCGCTTGTAAACGGGGAGACCGCAGGGGCCTGCTGGGAGGCAGGAGCGGCGCGCGTCTGCTGCAATTACCACGCGTCGCGTCCAGCTGAGTGACACAGCCTCAAAACTCGTCTGCTGCACTGGCCAACACATTGTCCTGCGGAGGGAGCTGGTAGGAACGTTGGGTTGCTCGGTCAATGGCCAGGGTCAACGGCGGCGTGGTGTATTTCGCAAATATGCCCGACTGTGAGGGCGGGCATAAGCTGGCGTGAGTAGGTTAAACGTTGAGTTTTATAAGGGCACCACGGGGTGACCAGCCCCTCCCCACCAGCCCCACCCCTCCCACCCCCCACCCAGCCTCACCCTCCCCTCCCCACCCAGCCCCTCCCCACCCTCCCCTCCCCGCCCCTCCCCTCCCTACCCAGCCCCACCCTCCCCACCCAGCCCCTCCCCACCCTCCCCACCCCACCCAGCCCCTCCCTCCCCACCCAGCCGTTCCCTGCACGACGGACGGACGGACACAATAATCCCCTGTGGGCTGGTGTAACCAGGAGGTTCCTACCAGTATAACCTCCACATGCATCGCAGTATACAAGACTGCTCGATGCGAAATGAGATA